GAAACCAAAACAAAAGGAAAGAGGAGGAGGAGAAAACGAAGCAGCGAGGCTCAGGAAGCATAATCTTGTTAAAAATCTCAGCAGGGCTGCAGTGTAATTAATCCTAACAAATTCATCGCAGAACAATCGCTCGGTTGGTTCAGGATGAAGCAGAAGCAGCAGGGCTCAGGAAGCATAATCTTGTTAAAAATCTCAGCAGGGCTGCAGTGTAATTAATCCTAACAAATTCATCGCAGAACAATCGCTCGGTTGGTTCAGGATGAAGCAGGAGCTGGCGCCTGTGGCATCGTCATGAGGAGGTAGCGGGTACCTCCAGGTACCTTACCAAGTGAAGCAGGAGGAGTCCTCCCCTTTCTGCTGCTGCTGGGGCTGCCGTCATGGCCACAAAGGCAGCTGCTGGCGAAGGAGAAGGGCTTTTGTCAGGTTATCAGGTGGCAAAAGGGGACAAGGATGCCGTGGGCTCCCAGGTACCCAAACCACTCTCCAGCCTGAGATGGGGAGCGGGATGGGGATGCTCAGGTGGGCACGGCCAGCCCTCCTCCTCCACCATGGTATTGGGGAAAACAAGGCTGAGACCTTCCTGGATTTTAGCTACAGGGTGAAATGAATTGAGTAAATAAATACACATCGATTTATGTTGAATTTTTGCAGGGATCACCTTTTGTCCCTCATTTTGCAGAAGCACCATCGCAAGCTAAGCCAGATTGACATGACTGCATTGCTCGGCCTTCCGTATCTCCTCTCACCCTCACCGCAAGCAATGAATTCCCTCTGCAAGACAATTTTTGCCTTAAGGAACGTCCCATCCAGATAAAACAGGAAGCATTAAAAATCTCTCTTGTTTCAGCTGGAGAACAATGTTTGGCTTCATATATATAGGGATAAGCATGCTTTAGCATCTCTTGAAGATGGAGAGGGACGTCTATGCTTCGTCATCATGTTCTGCCTTTGTAAGATATCCCAGGCCAACAAAATAATAATGAAACACCTTCAACTCTGCCAGCTCTTCCTTGCTGGAGCCTGGGAACCACTGCTTTTAGCAGCCTGGTTGGCCCTGGATCAGGATACCTGGCTTCAGGTACCACCATCATCCCAACGCCTTCACCCTGCCCTTCCCAGCACTGGAGGGCTTTTCTCCCTGGAGGCTTTCCTAACTTTCCTCTCCTCCTCTCCACCTCATCTTATCTCCTAAATGAAGTATGTCAGGCAGCATTAGCTCAGCCTTCCCCTGATCTCTGCCCAGGGAGCATCCCTTGCAAAACAAATCGCTCCGTGTCAGCAGAAGTGTCTGGAGTGATAAAAGCCGTTCGGTGGCAGCGGGTCCGTATGAGCATCCAACCGGACGCTCCCAAACTTATTCGGTCCTTGAATGTATTGGCAGATATTCTGCTCCACCTGCTCGCCTGCCTGAGAGGAATGAATGAATGAATGCCTCACTCTGGCTGGAGTCTTTTGTTTCTTCTTTAACCCTCACTGAGATTTATGGCCCTTTGGTGGCTTTCACCTTTCTGGGGAGATGACAAAGTCCAACATTTCCTTGTTCCACAGCAAGGTGCACAGTGACTGCTTGCCTCAGTTTCCCCATCTGTGAGAAAAAAAAAAAGGGGGGGGGGGGGGGATAATTATTAGCAGTTTGGGATTTGTTCATCCATTTCCCGCATCCTTGGTGCTGGCATTACCTGCCTGATGACAAGAAGACAGAAAAAGCAGGAGGGCTCTGGGAGATGCTGCCCAGCATCACATAGGATGGGGTACCCGGGGGGTGGGACAAGACAGGGGTTGAGACGTGGGCAGCTCATGGAGCTCCTCTCCAAGACAAGCATCTCCCCCTCTGAAGCAGCAGTCACAGTCCAGCACATCACCATGCTCCGTTTCAGGAGCGATTTTCCACCTCGTGCTTGTTTATTTTGTCGTGAACTTATCTGGTACTGGAGAAGATCAGCCCGTCTGGCTCTCTGCAATGCGAAGGAGAAGGGCTTTCCCCCTTTTTTCCCTTTCTTTTCTTCCCCACCCCCTTTTTTCCTTTTTTTTCTCCCGTTTCTTTTTTTGCGTTTCCCCACTCTTGCCACTCACCACCAGGATGTCATTCCTG